TCTAATCTGTGCTCCAAACCTGATCCATTGAATGTCTCCGTTCTAATCTGTGCTCCAAACCTGATCCATTGAATGTCTCCGTTCTAATCTGTGCTCCAAACCTGATCCATTGAATGTCTCCGTTCTAATCTGTGCTCCAAACCTGATCTATTGAACGTCTCCGTTCTAATCTGTGCTCCAAACCTGATCCATCGAATGTCTCCGTTCCACCTCCCCACCCGGAGTTAGATGGATTCATTAGAATATCATGCACTGGAAAGCAGCGGTGAATCAGGGCTGGGAAATATAATGAAGGTATCTGTTGAAGGAGATGGGGCTTCATGAGCTATTGCTTTATTCTGGAGACAGGGAGCCTGATTCTCATCTACACAAAGTCACTTTGCATCTCTCTGGCAGTGTAAAGGGGCTTTTTAGTAGGTGTGTATTACGTTTTCATTGACTCTCAGGCCCCTTTACACTGCCAAAATGATGCAAAGTGGCTTTAATGTAAATGAGAGTCAGGCCCAGAGGGCTTTCCTGCCAAGGATGGCCTGCCTTTGGAAGTAAGTTTAGGTGACGGTAATGTATGGTGGGATTTTTTGGGTTGTTTTGTTTTTTAGCATTTTATTTCTGTATTGTATCCCTGTCTGAAACAAAACCGTGTTTGCAGCTGTCTAGCACTGAATGACTTATTAAGAGGCCGACCACTGGATGACATTATTGATAAACTTCCGGAAATCTGGGAAACCCTGTTCCGAGTGCAAGATGATATTAAGGTAATACAGCTTCCTGTTAAATTGTCAGCTCTTACAAAAAGTATAATGATCAAATCTGGAGGGAATATCTCATCTGCTGCAAGTTTAGAAAAGTATCTCTGTGAAGAATCAGTTATTAGCTAGGGTCTGGTCCTGAGAACATCTCCAGCTCCCGCTGAAGGTGCTCACCACTGTTCAGGTCCCAGTGAGTAAAATGCTTGGGAAATTCTTCATATGGGTTCCTCATAGTGTTGTGATTCCTTCTGAGACCTTCTCCACTCGGCTTATCCAGAGCATCTTGTGCAGTTCTGGGAGAGCAAGTAGGTTTGAGGGGGCGTATACAGCACACACTGTTTTCTATTCTGCTCAATCTTACAAAGTGCTGAGCACAACACTTTGCCCTGACCCAGCACAACACTTAAGTGAATGCTTAACTTCAAGCGCATGAGTAGTCCAACTGGGCTCGCTCACATGTTAAAGTGAAGCACACGCTTAAGTGTTCTGCAGGCCAGAGTGTTCAGCATCCTACAGGATCAAGCCTTATGTTTCCTAACATCCAGCCCTGCCTGTTCAAGCAGGGCTAAAGCTTCTTTGCATCTGAAATTGGGCTGTGATCGGAGGGGCAGAGGTTAGGCCTTGTTGCTTTCACAAACTCAGCTGGAATTGCATCATTTTCGCTGTGTGTAGTGAAAGGCAAAATAAAACCAGTCCTAAATATGACGTTGGTAAAAACAGTATAACCGAATTCTTCAGCAATGCTTCTGAGTAGAGAATAAAGCATACAGGAGAGATTTTATGCTTCCTTTTGGAAAAGGACAGATCCTCCAACATTAGTGGCATGGAAGAACAAAGCATGGGAACTCCTTTAAATGGAAAAATGACAGCTAGTCGTAAATCAGGATCAAATTGATTTCTTAGCACACGGTTCCCATTTTTTGGAATCTGAACAAAATAAATACACACACATAGTGATAAGAGGTTGACCATACACAAACAGCTCACAGATTATGAATCAGATTTGTCAATACTTGTCTGGAAAGTCCAGGTAGGTTAGTAATGATAAAACAAAAAGTTTAAATAAAATATTAATGGAATTTTAACTTCTTCTGTAGGAGTCTGTACGAAAAGCAGCAGAACTAGCCCTGAAAACGTTAAGTAAGGTAAAATTGAACTTCTTCATTGCAGACTGTGTATGTGGAGGGTGTGTTGTATGTGGTGGTGTATAATAGTTAATTTCCACCTGTCCAAGAATGACCTTTGATTACAAATTACTCTCATGTAAACTACCCTGGTACTAAGGTGCAGGGCTACGTTGTAGCCCAGTGGAGATAAATGTAAGTGTGATCCTGCATCCCGTACACACTGATAACCCCTGTTGAAATCAATGTGACATGTTGGAGGAAAACATCTGAAATCTGCTTCCCTGTGTGCCCTTCTTTTTCTAGAGGGTTAAAGAGCGGTGTTATGTACAGTATACAGCGCGTGCACATGTGCCTAGAAATGGAGCTGACGAGACAGGGTTTAGCTGCCCTTCCTGGGGTTTGAGACTCTCCTAATTTGGGACCTGCTGTTGCGGCCGTTGACCATTTGGGCCAATCTGGCTGAAATAACCTGCACAGCAGCTGTTTCCATTACTAGATCCAATTGTTGAGGGCCAGGGCGATGCCATGCCTGGGTTTGGAAGGCAGCACGGTTCCTGTCTCCACGCCCCCGTTCAGGAGCGAATATCGATCTAGCACTGAGCTGGAATTTGGCTGAGCGTTTAATCCCCCATACAAAAATAATGGTGCTCTAACGGGCAAACCCAGACCTGACATGACCAGGCACAACTGCGTTGACTTCCGTGGGCTGCACCCACGTACACAAAGTCTGAATGTGACCCAGTCTCTTGGCTCTGGTTCCTCCTTAACTTTTCCCATGGCACGCGGGAAGGCGCTGGGTTAAATCTGAGGAAAGATTTAACCGTGTATGACGTCGCCTCTCCTATTTATCCTTAGGTGTGTGTGAAAATGTGCGACCCCGCCAAAGGCGCAGCGGGCCAGAGAACTATAGCGGTGTTGCTGCCCTGCCTGCTGGACAAAGGAATGATGAGCACAGTGACTGAAGTTCGGGCTCTGAGGTTTGTTTTACAGCCTGTACGTTCCCTTGGGATTGGGCGTGTGTTTGTTCCAAGGGGATTTGGTTTATTCACCTGAACTGCAGCGTGTCCGTTAATCACTTGCCGTTTTAATCCCCTCTCCCCATCCCCAGAAAAAACAGCCCTCTCGCCTCCCCCTGCTTTCGTCCAGTTAAAACAGCAGCTCAGAGAATTCTAGTGGTTTCCTAGAGTGCAATTTCTTTAACTAAACAGGGCTGGTGCAATAGTGTAAGGGCACGTCTTCACTACCCGCCAGATCGGCGGGTAGCGATCGATCTATCGGGGATCAATTTATCGCGTCTAGTCTAGACGCGATAAATTTGATCCCCGATCACTCTGCCGTCGACTCCGGAACTCCACCGCAGCGAGAGGTGGAAGCGGAGTCGACGGGGGAGCAGCAGCGGTTGACCCGCCACCTTCCTCACAGCCAGGTAAGTCGACCTAAAATACGCAACTTCAGCTACGCTATTCACGTAGCTGAAGTTGCGTATCTTAGGTCGACACCCCACCCTCCCCACCATAGTGTAGACCTAGCCTAAGTCTCCTATTCAGAGTATCCAGCCTCTCTGCACCTATTGAGTTCCTGGGGGCATCCAAAGGCCCCTCCCCAGCCTGAGGACAGGCGCTACTGAGCCCAGGGCTCAAGTCAAGTCTGGGGACAACAATTGAAAGACTCTGCAGTTGCACAGGTCACATCTCAGCAGGAGTCAATCCAGCCTTCCATCTTTCTGCAGCAAGTAAACTGACCCCCGTGCAGTTTGTAGTATGTGAGACTCTTCTATTGGTCCTCACAAGCTGATGGTGTGTACATGTAAAGTGCTCATGAAAAGGGATTTACCCTTGTGTCTCCTTGGCCAACATTTCTCCACTGCTGCTCCCTCTGCATCGCTCTTTTTCAGCATTCTTTGGGCTGGTTGCGCACGCTACAGAGGTGGCTGCATTTCCGTGGTGCTGAATGCTTGTATTTTAGTTTCTGAATCCCTTTAGGGTCCTTTGAGATGAAAGAATGGCACTTATTGCCGTTGATTATTGTTTTGTAATCCTTCTGCGTGGAATAAATGAAGCAGTAACCAAGGTTCTGAAGTTAGCTAAAAGCTGAAGTGAAGCTGTCTTTTGCAGGAATAATATCCCATTAACATTATTATCCAGCAAGATTAAAAACAACAACAAACCGTAACAAATCTCTCAAGGATTGTTTTCTTCCTTGTGAGAGTTTGAAAATACTTTGTTGCCTTCCTGATTTTCAAGTGACAGTCCATTAGCACACGTCTTGGGCCACTAATTGTTTGAGGGAGGGTATAACACATGAAATGTGTTTGAGAGCAGCAGCCTGTATGGAATGGAGTGATGCGGTTGAACATATTGTTTTAAAGGGTGGGGGTTTCACTTGTGCAGAGATGACTGAAGTTTCTGAGCTGATTTTGCATAGTGTCTCCTAATCTAATAATCTAGCTGCTTCCTGTTTCTGTGTTCAAATGTGTCTAAATAATATTCTCTTTGCAACCCACTGGATATGCTAGGCAATCTGGGCGAGAGGATAAAATAGCCTGAACAATGTTTAAGTATCAGTAGAGACTCTAGGCAAGATTCTGGTCTCAGTTAAGTTGAAAAGACACAGAAAAATTCCATTTGCAGACATACTCCAGATTCGTACGGATGCAGCAGATCTGCATCTGGTGCTGTGTCAGCACAGAGTTACCACGGATGCCAGCTACACTTGGGGAAAGGGCTTTTGTAAATGATTAGAGTTGTAAAGGCTCTGGGATGACATGAGCTTCAATTCTTTTCCAGCATTAACACTCTTGTGAAGATCAGTAAAAGTGCTGGTGTTATGCTGAAGCCTCACGCGCCAAAGCTCATCCCAGCTTTGCTGGAGTCCTTAAGCGTGTTGGAACCCCAGGTTCTCAATTATTTGAGTCTCCGCGCTACGGATCAGGAGAAAGTAAGTGTAACAACCATGGGGTACGTTTTCACAGCCGTTTCACAAGGATTGATAGCGTCAAGGCTCCCACAGACATGAACAAAATAAATCAGCAATTCTGAGCGAGAGGCACCCCAAGGTGTTAAGGGAATTAGCTAATGTATCTACTGAACTGTTATCTGTTATTTTTATATGACACCGAGAACCATGGAGTTACTGGAGGATTTTTTTTAAATGCACTGTGTTCCCCCAATCTTTCATAAAGGGGGGAAAAAAGCAATCTTGACAATAACTGTTAGTAAATCTGACTTCAGCCCTGAGTAAAATTATGGAACAGCCAGAGACCTCTGTAAATATGCAGGCTGCATCTACCCTAACAAACCTGGCACCTGTTTCCTGGAAATGCAACATCTGAAGCACCATTGCTAGTTATAATGTAAACTCCAGTAATCAGATTGGGGGTGTTTTCAGCACTGTCATTAAACCTGGGCTTTCCTAATAGAGAGGGGTACTAGACTGCGGTGATCTCCCAAGGCCCCATTGCTGACATCTGCTTCTTGCCTGTAGTTATCTGAAAATGTGCACTAGTCAGAGTTTGTGGGGAAACACATTGCATTTGATGCTGAGATGTGGCTTTTTCTACTGGCTTCAGATTACATCTGCTTTGTTTGTTCTGTTTCCTTTAGGCTGCAATGGATAGTGCAAGACTTAGTGCTGCTAAATCATCTCCCATGATGGAAACAATTAATATGGTAGGTGTTGGATTTAGGAAAGGTCCTAAAGTAGACATGTGGGAGGGTGGATAATGACCAAAGTGGTAACATGATAGGGAACTTCCCTTCAAACTTTTATCAGACAACCATTCATTTGATTGTCAGAGTTCCTCAGGTATGGGCTCTTGTCCACCTCTTCGTTTAGATTATACCTTCTATCCCTCCCCCAATACCTCACACAGGTAGCTACTGGCCTTCCTTCTCCTTCATAGCAACTGCCGTGCGGCCAGATGGGGAGATCCTCATCTGGTGTCCATTGTCATGGGTCCATTGAGGTCAGTAGAGTTGTGACAATTGGCACCAGCTGAGGAGCTGCCCATGATGTGGTAAAGAGCATAGGAGTGTTTTGTTCTTAAGGGTGACAACTAATGCTCTTCCGTGGGTGACCCAACAATTTCAGGGGGGTGCTGAATGCTAGCATGGAGGGACTCCTCCACTTCTTTAAGAGTGCAAATACTTCTCCTCTGTAGTCTTATCTCCACTTGCCCTAGGATCTGCACTCCTAATTTGTTCCCAGCTTGGGTCCCCAGGAGGCAGTGTGAGGGAATTGCTCCTGGACACTGGCTCAGAGCTCTGTTATTTTTCCCTTTCTCCTGTCCTACCAGTGTTTTTTAGTGCTTTAGACATTTAGATCTGGGCCAGGACAGTACTTCAGTGGGAAACCTTTGGGGAAAATCCAGCTGCTGTTGGAAATGGTGTAGGTTATTCAGTATTCCACACCCGTTTTTCCTGAGTACAGCCTTCCATGGTGCCCAGGCACCCTGCCATGGGATGGCGTTCTGCTGGAGGAGCTGCCTTCTGAGTGAAAAGTACAGCTGTGGCCTCTTCTTCAGTTTGAACTCTATGGCCGTCTTCAGAAGGGATGGGGCTGTGACCGCCACTCTTTACCCAGCCTGTGACATGAAGGCAGACAGGAATATAAACACCGACGCTGTCAGCTGTCCCAGTTGTTCTTAATAAAACCTCCATTGTGTGAGGTGCTGGGGCCATTCCGTGCCATTGTGATTTCGGTGATGTGGTCTCTGAAGCACCTCACTGAGACCCCAGTGCTCCCTGAAGTAGTCAGGCACAGGCCCCACTCCGCTCACAGCGAAGCCATCCGGTGTAAAGGGAATCAAAACCATCTTGTTTTCTGTGCATTCCCTGCTCATGTGGACGCAATTTCACGTGGCTTGGAGAAGCAGACACCCTTGTAAAGGGCAATAGCAAATTACTCACAGTATGTATTGGCCTTGGAGGGCTGTCCTTGAGACATAAGGCCTCCAGTTTATGCACCATGCCTTGGGCTCCACCTAATGGCTCAGTTTTACCCTTGGTGACAATGTTGCCAAACGTCCTAATAATCTGAGGGCTTCTGTATTGTCAGCATAACTTCATGAGCAATATAACTTGGAATGGGAATGCTTCTTTTTTTATTACTGAGTTAAATCTATAGAAACCCTAGGAAGGAAATGGAGAAAAGTGCAATGCTTTTGATAGGATTTCTGGTGTTAGAGACATGATCATTTAAAAAATCATGGTTTTTTAGAAGAGAAATTTCCTTCCATTTGCTATTAACATCGTAGACGATTGAGATTGGAAATAACCTCAGCATTGTCTGGTTCTGATGTGTTAGTGCTGCGGTGTTGAGGTTTCACATGGCTGCTGGGGAATGTTTACATCCCCGCCAAAATTTACACCCACAAATTTATTTACTTGATAGCAGTTTTATTTTATATCTTCTTAAAAATACAAAGGGCCCAAATCAGCACTCTGATGCACCAGCTCTACAATGGGGCAAGCGTTGATTTCAGTGAGGTCGCCCCAGTGTAACTGCGTGATGAATCAGGCTGCTAATCTATATTTGGGGCCTGACCGTGTCCCTTTAAAATGAATGCTACACAATACAATAAGCTCCCAAGTGCAGTGAAGTAAAAGCAAATAGCATCTTTTCTGTTTATGGTACAGGCCTGGCTTCAGTGTCTTCTCCTCAAGATTTACTCTTTCATCCCTTCCCTTTCCATAGTGCTTGCAGTATCTGGATGTGTCTGTCCTGGGTGAGCTGGTTCCTAGGCTGTGTGAGCTGATCAAAAGTGGAATAGGCCTGGGCACTAAGGTACGTGTGCAGCTTTACTAAGATAAGGGGGGGCGCGGAGGGATAGCTCAGTGGTTTGAGCATTGGCCTGCTAAACCCAGGGTTGTGAGTTCAATCTTTGAGGGGGCCATTTAGGGATCGGGGCAAAAATCTGTCTGGGGATTGGTCCTGCTTTGAGCTGAGGGTTGGACTAGATGACCTCCTGAGGTCCCTTCCAACCCTGATATTCTATGAATGGGGGAGGCAAAATACTGCAATGCCAATCTTATTATGGTGCTTTTGACTCTGAAGCAGCAGCTGTAATAGCTGAAAACTGCTCATTTCCGATCAGGATTCCTGTCCGCCCACATGACTTGCTTTTCGACGTGTGTACTAATAACCTCACCTTTGTTGTGCAGCTGGTGGATTCGGTAGAATAAGCTAATAACATCGATTTTTCTCTTGCAACCTTTCAGGGAGGCTGTGCCAGCGTCATTGTGTCACTAACCACTCAGTGTCCCCAGGACTTAACGCCGTACTCAGGTAAGGTTTCCTTTCAGAGAGGGGTTTGGTTTAAGTTGCTTTTAGACTCTCTTCTGAATAGCCTGGTTTCCACTGTCTGCCAGCACAGGGTGCTCTTCGTGTTCTCTGGCCCTCCCTTGGAGCTGCTTCACGCAGAAAAGGGTGGTAGGGATAAGTCCTAAGAGGGGTTGAGGGACTGGCTCAGGAATGGGCCTAGGGCCTCTCCCTGCCACGTCTGAAGCAGACGAGCGATAGCTGTGTTTTAACTGCGGTTGCAAGCACGTTTTCCTTCGCCAGCATGACCAGGGATTAAGGGTATAACAGGGCTGTCCCCCGACACAGCTAGAGCACGTTTCCTCCCTGGAATGGGGCTTCAGCAGGGCTGCCCAACTGTGTGGAAACCTTCTTTAATGCACTGGCCAGCTGTGTCTTTGTTCCGCTGTAGGGACTCGCTCACGCGTATGAGTCTGCTGCTGCCTTCAAGCTGATGGAGCTGCTGCTTCAGCTCAGGCAGTAGTGGCTCATGCTGTTAGACCTGTAAGTCTTGTGTTCAGTCCCTACTGGCAACCTAATCAGGGTCACAGCTACCGCTGGAGCATCCAAGGCTTTATCGCGATTTGGGAGCCTTGGGCAGGTCTCGTCTACGTTACGAGAAGGAAATATAGTTTAATGGGTTGGGGGACAATGGGGCTGAAACCAGATGCCCTTGTAGACCAGCTATGGCTATCCGTGTCACTAGCTGCAAAACAGCAGAATTGTCCTCCTGGCTGCGCTCCAGTGACAGCTGTTCTAACAGGTTTCGGTTTTGCGTGTGTACATGGGGCCAGATGAAGTTTTATCATCCTGTTAAAGGACACTTTCCTGCATAATTAACAAACTAAAGAAAGCGACTGGTGCAGAAACAGAAATGGTGTAATAAAATTCAGGCGCTGTAACCCATAGCAGTCCCAGTCCAAGTTTGCGTTACCAGAATCAATCCTGTCTCTTTTCAAACAGGCAAACTCATGAGTGCTTTACTCAGTGGACTGACTGATCGCAACAGCGTGGTGCAGAAGTCTTTTGCATTTGCTATGGGGCATCTAGTTCGGGTGAGCTGGTGTCTTTTAATTGTGTTTATTATATTGTTTTTTTGGGGAGGGGGATGGTTACGTGTATTTAAATGATTTGAGTCTCTCTCTGACCTTTTTTTAAAGACCTCCCGGGATAGTAGCACTGAGAAACTACTGCAGAAGCTCAACAGCTGGTACATGGAGAAGGAAGGTATGTGGTTTTTGGTGGATTTCAGGCTTGCTGTATGAGGCAGGGAACCAGCTCCTGGGGGGGAAGACGCTGGGGAAGGCGTGTTCTAGTATTTTCATCCCCATTCATGCAGTGCGCTAATGTGTGCATTTACTAGATGAATAACTAATGGAAAACACACAGTGCTACTCCTCTCCTATACACCCATGTGACTCCCTCCCGTGCTCCCACAGTGTGACTCTGGATTCTCACCAGCGAGGGAGAGAAGTCTCTGGCTCCAAATGACCAAACTGTGTCATTGCTTTCTCCCCTTGTCCTTCAGAACCGGTCTATAGGATAGGCTGTGCTTTAACTGTTCATGCCATCGGGCGCTACAGCCCGGACGTGTTGAAGAACCATGCCAAACAGGTCTTGCCTCTGGCATTTCTGGGCATGCACGAGGTCCCAGATGAAGAGAAAGGAGAGAAAGATGATTCTAATCTGTGGACCGAAGTGTGGCAGGAAAATGTACCTGGTAAGTTGAACTGGAGATCGGTAGACGCTTGCTTATTGCTGGGGCTGCTGGGAATCTAGAGGAAACATCATCCACAATGTTTGCGAAAAATTTAACCTTTAATTCTTCTTGGAGTGCTTCCTCACGTCCATTCCATAGTAGGTGTGTGTGCTCGCCACATGCACCGGTGCCGGAAGTTTTTCCCTCAGTGGTATCCATAGTGGACTCACTCTGGCGCCCCCTGGAGTGGCACGCACATGCACATAAAGGGTGCCGCCAGCTCCCCCCACCCTCCATTCCTTCGTGCCTCCAGTGACGGTGCTGGAACGTCTGCTGCTTTGGCTAGCTTTTCACTTTGTTCAGTGTGTCTCACAAACGTTTTTTCCTGTAAAATAGTTGTATATAGTTAATAGTTACCCTTAGTGTTAGTTCTAGTTAGTTGGTTCCAGAGGGGACTCAGCCTAGGGACGGGGCATGCCCCGGTCCCCAGGCTTTCAGCCATGTGATCGTTGTAAGTGGCCTGTGCCCATCAGCGACCCACATGATAGTTGTTTAAGGTGTCTAGGCAAAAGACACATAAGCGACAAGTGTCACATCTCAATCATTTAAACCCCGAACAAAAAAGGAGAGACATCCATCTCAGGGCGCTCCTGAGGGAGTCGGTGCTGACCCTGGCACCAGAGCAGAGGGCCGACTCGGCCCCGAGCACTGCAGCGTCGGTGCGGAGTGCCCCGCTGGCACCTTCTACAAGCCGGCACCAATCCCCCTCCCCGGCTCCAGCCAAGAAGCCCAAGGGGACCGTGAGGGGAAGATCTCTCACTTCCCATAAGGAGAGGGCCGGAGGAGAGCCAAGACCCATGCTGGGCAGCTCAACGCCTCCGTCAGGGAGTCGAGCCCCAGCTCAAGTCGAGCGGTCTAGCCCATCCCGTACCAGGGGCGGCTCCAGGCAGCAAGCGTGTGCCTGGGGCGGCAAGCCGCGGGGAGCGCCCTGCCGGTCCCTGTGAGGGCGGCAGTCAGGCTGCCTTCGGTGGCATGCCTGTGGGAGGTCCGCCAGTCCCACGGATTCAGCGGCAATTCGGCAGCGGGGACGCCGAAGGCGCGGCACCTGCGCACCTCCCGCAGGCATGCCGCCGAAAGCCGCCTGACTGCCGTGCTTGGGGCGGCAAAACACATAGAGCCGCCCCTGCCCCGTACCAGGCCTGCCACACTGGACATTGACGAGGGCCTCCGTCAACTCGAAGTCCCGTCGATACCCGAGGCATTGCAGGCAGCGCAGGAGATCCTGATGCTATCAGTGCCACCCACGCCGGCTCCAGCGATACCCAAGCCCAAGGGTAAACCCGCCTTGGGACCGTTCCGCGTGTCCCCACCTCAGTGGCATCGTCCCCCATCGTGGGGGACGTCCCGCCAGCGCTCACCCGCACGGAGCTGTCATGCCTCAGAAGTAGGGAGACAGGCTCAAAGAACCCCTCTTCCGTCTCCGGACCCTGGGCACTGACGGGGATTCAAGGCGCGGCTCGCTAGTGACCTGGCACAGACCTGTGTTGGCATGCGCCCCGCGGCATGTGCCCCGAGACCGACCCTTCATGTCTCCAATGCCTCGGCACCGATCAGTTGAGCGGGGCGGCCTGAATCCCGGCAGGGCGGCCCAAACCTGCCAGGACTGGGGAGAAGTGCCTCTCTCCCCTCCCCCTCCTCCGGGGGGGAAGTCCTCTCTCTGCGCCAGAGCAACCTCCTGCACCCCATGCCCCTCATCCCTGGCCCCACCCCACCCCACAGCCTGCACCCCCAGCCAGAGCTCTCATGCCCCCCATCCCCACCCTGTGTCCCAGCCCTGAGCCCCTCATCCCCAGCCCCACCCTAGAGCCCACACTCCCAGCTGGAGTGCCCCTTACCCCCCGCATAGGTTGTGAGGTGCTGGATACTATTGCAATGGGGGATATCTACTTTTTTTTTTTTTTTTTTAAATCTCAGCCCAGGATTCAAAAGCTTTATGGAATGAAGTTTGCTCTGTGCAGGTGCTGACGTGGGGAGGGGTATTAAGGCTGATGGCCCAGGGCCTGTGCTAGCCTGATGGAAATTGAAGATCTCATTTGATTTGGGGTCTACTAGGTGGTGCTCATAGTATTAACTCCAGAGAGTGGGTGTTACCCAATAGGAGGGCTCTAGATACCAATTTCAACACCTTTATGTGCTGGGATGAAGGAAGATGCAGCTGTGTAATTTGCCCCTTTGCGAGTGACATGCTAGCTCTTTCTTTGCTGTTTAGTGACCTGGTTTCAAAATTCCCAGCCAGTCAGTAGGTTACTGCTGCAGACCTCTTCCCCAGGACCTGAGGAGCTGCTGCCATCAAATTAGTAAGGGATGTGGGTTTTTTAAGAAAAATAAAATTTCCCTAGAAATTGACGAGAGAAATACCCTAATTCCCACAAGATCAAGGGATGGAAATTGGCTCTTCTGTTCAATTGTGTATTGAAGACCCTCTTAAATCCGCTCTGAAGGATCTAGCAAATAAAACCATTTTGGTGAGGAGGAGCTGGAATGACTTCCAGTTGTTTGGCCGTACGATGAGTCACCTGGAGGTTATTTGGTGACTCAGCTCACAGCCAGAAGAAAAGAATTCTTTTACTGCTTGAGGATCAGCTTTTTGTTCCTTTGATGTCATAAAATTACAGCTTTTCTTTGTGTTTGTTACACAGGCACTTATGGTGGCATTAGATTGTATATGCAGGAGTTGATCGCAATTACCCAGAAGGCTCTGCAGTCCCAGTCTTGGAAGATGAAAGCCCAGGGAGCGGCTGCCATGGCCTCTATTGCCAAACAAACTGGTTCCCTGGTACCGCCCCATCTGGGAATGGTGGTTGATGCATTGTTGCAAGGTCTGTCTGGAAGAACGTGGGCAGGAAAGGTAAAGAAACAATTGGGGCCAGGTGGCTTGAGAGAGGCTCAGGTGTTCAGTCCCTTAGCCCAGAAACGGAACATAGTGAGCCATAAACATTCCCGTTCCTGCAGGGAGTGGGATTCCAAATGTATCTTGCTTTGGTTGATGGTCTCTTCCTGACCTGTGCGTTCCTGATACACAAAGAGGGGCACTGAGGTGTTCTGGCCCGGACATGCGGCTGTTCAATGGCTCAGATACCCAAACTGCTTTGTTCCTATTCGATCTAGAGTGAGTTTTTAAATGACATGTTTTTAAACGACAAGGCATGGAACCACAGTAACTAAAGGTGGTGGAAATGGGGAAACTCTGGCTATGCCCAGTCGGTAATGGAAATAAGTGCACCAAGTAGAATACGTAAGCCTGTGGAGTTTAAAAAAAAAACCAAAAACCTTAATGTAAATGAGAATCTGGTTCTTCAGACTACTTTCTATCCCTCTGGCAGCGCACATTTAGACACGTTGAGGCCCAGCTATGCAGCCAGGACAGTGTGAGTGAGAACCCGGCCGGGTCGTGTTTTTGGAATGTAGGCATCTAGTGAGCTAGTTTACCATGGGAAGAATGAGTGATGGGGGAGGATGAGATTAAAACAGTGCAGTTTACAGTGGAGTGATGGAAAGAATGTGCCCCTTGTAGAGGTGAGTAGCATTTGGATGCTTCTGCAGCATCTGCCTGGGCCACAGAGTTAGGGATACCAGTGACAACTGCAGGAGGAAAGCCCTGTCTCGCGGTGAAGTTGTTCTCATGAACACGTCTCGCTTTTGTTTTAATGCTCACAGGAGGAGCTGCTGAAAGCTATCGCCAGCGTCGTCTCTGCATGCAGGTAACCGTCCCTATAGTGAAGCATTGTTTAATCAAACGGGTTCCCTGTGCCTGTTCATGCGGGCCACTGCCTTTTCCTGTGCTGAGGGAGAATTCATTGCCAGCTGCTCTTTCCAGAGAGGAGTAGGAGGTCATAGGAACTGGATGCCACCCCAATCTCCCCCTGGGACATAGACGCTCTATCTCCTCTCCCTGCTGATCTGAGGCTGGGGGCTGTTGGGCAGAAGCCGGAGTTGGCAGCAGAGCTCCTCAGTGGGTGTAGGGACAGGATGGGAGGCGTGGGATGGTGAAGGTGGTGAATGGATGGGCGAGTGGAGGGATTGAGAAAGAGGATGAGGGACAGAGGAGGAAGTGATGGGAGGGGTTGTGTTGAAAGTTTGTGAGGAGGTAGGGGAAGAACACAGGAAGTGGGGAAAACGTGAGGGAGCAACAGATACTGCAAGACTGAGGAAGAGCTCAGGTACAGAAATGTACTTGCAGGGAAGGAAGGGAGAACGAATGGAGCCACAGAGAGTGAAACGTTGCCCTTTGAATGGAGGGTGCGTGTATGTATGCTGGTTAATGCTGGGAGAAGGAATTCCCTGCCTCTGGTGGAGATTCGCACACTCTGGAGCTAACGGGTTAACTTTTGTTCATAGAGATTTGTTCTCCCGAATAGCATTTTTCCCATTTGCGAATGCCCCAGACTCCACCAAATGACAAGGAACCCCTCCCTCTTCCGAGGAAAACTTCCCAGAGGAGAGTGCCATTAGGATGCACCTCCAAGGGCTGCATCTTCTCCTTGCAAATTACTGGATATTTTGAGGGATGGCCAAAAGATCTTGTCTAGAGCACTTTGAACCGGCCATACCAGGCCTAGAAAAGGGCCCAGTCCGGCTCTGAGCTCTTCACTGGCACCAGTAAGAGTGAGTGTGTGTGTGTGTGATAACCCATTTTATTTAACCTGTATTAAAATAAAAAGGATGGAAAGTCTGAATTGTGGCAGTAATTGTGTGGCATCCTGGGTTCAAGGTGTCGGAGCTTACTTAACTAACAGCCTCGTAGGGGTGTCACTTGTGTTTGACCTTCCATGTGCTTCTGGTGTTTCAGTGTAGAGTTGCAGAAGTCTGTGCCCAATCAGCCCAGCGTCAATGATGTTGTCCAGACTGTCCTGAAAGAGTGTCGCAAAGAGAACCTCAAGTACAAGATGGTAGCACTCCGATGTACGGCAGATGTGCTGAAGGCGACAAAGGAAGACCGTTTCCAGGAGCTGGCGGACATCGTCTTTCCGATGATAAAGAAGGTGACGCATCAGCTTTTTGATTTACTTTTTTTTGAAAACCAGCTGGTGGTGGTAGGCCTGCCTGGGTGAAGTCACGTCCATGGGGCTTTTTCTCCTCAGAGCTGATGCTTTGAAAAGCTCTCCCCATTCAAACTGGTCCAGTACAGGTGTGAACGTCTCCCACTTGTAATCTCACAAGGTTTTTCCCAATCCCCACTTTTTTTGGTTTGTCTAGTCTTAGCCCCTCACCTTTTCAGTGAAGCTAAACCAGAGTTCCGTGTGGTTTCCGGCATGTGGTGCTTCTCCAGAAAGACATTAAAACCCAAGTCCCCAGCTGCTCTGCTGGAAACTAAAGATCCCATGACACTATCTCAAACCACAGGGTTTTCATAGCATTTCTCCTCCAAACCCACCGTTGCGCAGTGTGATGTCTACCGGTTGCAGCCCCCCATCTGAATCTTGAAGAGTGTGACTTTTCAAGTGCTGCACATCTGCAGCTTGGGCTGAAACCAATGGGAACTACAAGTGTGCTGCACCTCTGAAAACTCGGCCCTGTTGTTAAAGCGCTTTGGGGTCCTGCTGGATGAAAGACAGCATAGAAATTAATAACATTTCTGTAGCTTTTCCTGATGGCAACAGAACTTCAGTGAATTGGGGTTCTCTAACTATGTGGTGTGTGTGGATTATATGATGACTAGATACAGGGGCTGGTTGTTAGCAAAGCGTACTGTGGAATAAACAAAGCATAATATCCTGTCTTCCCCCCCCCCCCCCGCCCCATTCCTGGTACCTCTCCAGAATTCTCATGAGAGCGTAGGAGCTGGTTCACCAAAGAATGATGATGACGAGAATGAAAAAGAAAAGGAGCTTCAGATGGAATCTCTGCTCTGTGCCTTTGAGAGTTTGGGCAAGGCCTGGCCTAGGAATCTGGAGACGCAGCGTAAGTTGGATCAGACAAATAATGAGCAAAGCTGGCAGAGTGTGGATCAAAGAGCGTTTGCTTAAAAAAGGGACTCAACCAGAAAGCAGGTTGAGGGATGCGGAGGAATGTCCAGGGCTTTCAAGAGCCATTTGCTTGAGCAGCGGGGTCAGTTGGAGCAATCTGCTGGATACGCCATCCTGGCAGTAATTTACAGTAACTGGGGAAGATGCTGTCTTTTGCACTCCAACAAACGTACACTGCATATCCTGTCTTTCCCCAGGCTCACCCCTGAAGGGTCCTTACAAGTGCACTAAATGCCATGCACCAAGCTGTTTCGAAGGCGAAGAGTGATGTGATGGGACATGTAGGCCAATGTTTTCTAACTGGGGGTGCCTGAAGCAAGACCCCTAAATAAGTGGCCTGGTTTTCCTAGGTGCTGAGCACCCACTGTTTCCACTAATGTCAATAGGAATTTCAGGGGCTCAGCACCTCTGAATGATCAGGCCCCTTTTTATTGAGATGACAGAATGTGGATTTAGTTGCCTGTGATTTGGCCCCCATGTATGAAAGTGTTGCCCCATCAGGATTAACCAGGGTTTCAGGGGCCTGTGTGGGAGGAGGATGTTTTGATCTTCTTGCAGTGACTGAAGCCAGATCTAATTTGGAGCATGAACATAGACAGCGATATTAGTGTGAAGTAGGGAACGTTCACATCTTCCTTCCCCTTATTAATGTAATGACACCCTAATTTGTTGTTTTCAGGCTGCTATTGGCAAGAGCTGTGCAAATTAATGTGTGAGCGTCTGAAACTCAGTACGTGGAAAGTGCAGCTTGGAGTGCTACAGGCCATGAACGCCTATTTTCAAGGGTAATTTTCCTGCTTGTGCTTCACTTTTATTTCCTGCCTTCACTCAGGCATTTCAATCCTTTTCATGAAATTGTGACAAATGCGCTGTTATGTTGGCTGTAATGATTCCTCAGAGTAAGCCAAGCAGATCCGTAGAGTGGCTTGTTTCCTTCGGCACGAGTCTCACACTGCTTTTACATTTGCTAGGTTAATGCTTTTTGAAGAGGCGCACTCAGACCCTGGGGCTTTGACAGAAATCCTGTTGGAAACCTGCTCATCCATCACACACTCTTTAGGTAAATGTATTTTCCCAGCAGGCGGCTGGTGATGAACAGCTCGTGTAAATGCTTGTCTTCTGGGAGCTGGCTGGTGGATATAATTTGAATCTCTCTCTCTCTCTCTCGGGACATGTTCACTGAAGTGTAATCTGTAACGTTAGAGCCCGTAACTTTGAGTTCCCTTTAAGCTCCCTCCCTTGGAATGGCTGCTGACGACTATTGCCCGTGATGCTTTGACCAGAAGTGTTTTACTCTTTTAGAGCAGGAACACCCCTTCCTCTCCAATAGTAAATACCTTGATTTTGGAGGTGGTAGATTGCTGTGTGGGCTCCTGTACTTTCTACATATCCATAACTTCACCTTTTTAAAGTGTCCTCCTTGCAGAAGATGAGTCACGTAGGACTGGAGAACTGAATTTTCCATCATTTTCCCAGTCTCTTCATTCAGACTTTTTATAGCTAGGCCAAGTTCACACCTGAAACAATATCCCATATTTATCTCTGGTGTAGTTCCCTCAAAGTCAGTGGAGTTACACCAGAGACTATTTTGGCCCTGTATATCCATGATCATTGTCTAGGATGGAAAATTTCTTACCCAAGAATCTCCTTTCTGCTGGCAGCATCTCCCATCATTCTAATATGTCTGGGTTGCTCCCCTGCACTCTGCGGTTCCTGGAGGCAGTTCAGAGCTGCAATGCAGCGTGCGCTGGGCATGGCTTCTGTTGCTGCTTGCCATCAGATGAGTCATTTCAAAGCTGTATAAAAACTCATATGCAGTGTTGTTGTAGCCACCTTGGTCCCAGATATTAGAGAGACAAGGTGGGTGAGGTAATATCTTTTATTGGACCAACTTCTGTTGGGAGAGAGACAAACTTTTGAGCTTACACAGTGCTCTTTTTCGGGTCTGGGAAATGTCACAGCTAAATACAAGGCGGAACAGATTATTTAGCATAAGGAGTTAATACATATTTCAAGGGACCATTCGAGGGAAAAGTGGCCCATTAACATAGTTCTCCAGTCGTAAGGGGGCGGGGAGGAAGCTAAGGGGTGGGATAGGTTAGTGGGTTATAGATTGTTGTAATAAGCCATAAATCCACTGTGTCTATTCAGTCTGGGATTTTTCATGTCTAGCAAAGTTACGAAGTTAAGCTTGAAAATCAAGCACTAAAAATCATGGCTTCCACTCTCCTGTCCGTTAGGTCTTAAGGAATAACCATGTCCCTAGCTAGGGAGGTTACTGTGGCACTGGGCTTCAGTGAGAGCATTCTCTGGTTCTTGCAGCTAATAGAACCGGAAGTCGTGATCGCTGATACTTTTAACCTGTGTCAGACTTGTCCCGGATTATGTCTTTGAAGGAGGAGCGCAGGGGACTTGCTGCCTCGGGGGAGGATTTGGAGGGAAGGTATTTGCTTTGAGGCTTATCCTCAGGAGCCTGCTCAGGTTCGATCTGGACTGTGGCCACAACCTTTTTGCACACGGCCTCAAACTTCTCAGGGGAAAAAAAATTGTTGCATTTTTTCCAAGTCTTGCATGGAGTTGGAGTCCGGAAGCTTTCCTTCCTCAGCAGAGGGGGAGGAGTCTGACTCAGAGGAGGTGTCTCTTCTGGAATATTTTGTTCTTTTTTCCTCCCCCTTTTTATTCCTTGTGGACTTTTTTGACTTTTTTGGCGAGCTTTGCTGGAGACGGTGACCAGACGTGGGTTGCTTTGTGCAGAGCCCGGAGAAGCTTCTCCCTGGCAGTGTGCTCCTTCAGGATCCCATGCTTCTTGAGCAGGAGACGGGATCTCATTATCACGGTTCTCTGACTCAAACTGGGGGGGCTGGATATAACCCTGAGGGTGCTCAAGGCCCATTCCCAGATGTACCCCTGGGTTGTCTGGATGAAGTCCTCCTTAGAGCCTGTTCTGCCCTGGGTCTCCTGGTCAGGCTTTTCTGGGTGGAGTCGTGGGGAGGGGTCCCAACATGCCTGTCTGACTCAGAGCCTCACTCCCATGCGGGTGCTAGGGTTGGCTGCCTGGGAGGAGGCTGGGCATAATTCGCCCTCTGCTGATCCTGGGAAGGCTCCGTCACGTGCAGAGCACCATTCGGGTCCAGCCTGGCGTTTGTGCCAGGCCAGTAAGGGGGCAAAGGGGCTCAGCAGGAAGGCGTTGCAGTGGAGGCTCCAGGGCCTGGAGCTGCACAGACCCTCACCCAGGAAGAAGGAAGGAGAAAAGGCTCACTACTGCCTGAAAAGGGCAATAAAGGGACGGGAGTAAATGAACTGTCACTTTGCTGCTGCAGAGGCAGGAGATCTGGCAGCAAGTGGGAGGAGGGGGCATGACCAGCACATGCTTCATCCCAGCTGTGAGGCGCTTCCGGGACCTGCGGGGTGAAGGGGAGCAGCCCCACCCCAGACCTCTCAGGATGGTGGGAGATGATGGGCTGCAAAAAGAAACCAGAGATAAAAGGTGCACCACATACTCTCAAGAGAGGCCATGTTTGTGCCTTCCCAGTCCTGCTATGCTCCGAACACGCCCCTCCTGCACCCAACCCCATGGCCAAGGAAGGAGCCCTAAGGCTGTCGGCAGTGCCTGTGTTGGGGGAATCGTCCCCTGGGCAGATATAGGGCTGTTAGGGCCCCTTTATGCCACTTCCATCCTTTTATGTGGCTTAAAGGGGCCAGTGGGATAAGGATATCACCCCAGGGGCTGAGGACCGTGGAAACTCTTGTGCAAGTTATGGTCACAGGAAAACAACTTGGTCTCTGGTGACTTTGGCTGCATGCTTTGGGTGAAAGCCCATATAACATAACCTAATATCCTATTTGTTTAGAAAATACCTGGATGATTATTTTAAGCATTGCCAAGCCACAGGTTGATTGAAAGGCGATTCCTCTACATAAAGAGTTTTCTCAAGGGCTCCGATGTAGGAATATGACTGTACTGCAATTTCACCAGCTTTGTTAGCCTCCAATTCCTCTTTAACCCATGGAAGGGTTGCATTGTGGGTACTGTACCAGAAGGCTATGCATGGTGCTTTTCTAACATGGTGGGGGAGTCTGTGTATTTGCAGACTCCATACTGCTAATACACCTGACTGTCTGGGGGCGTTTCTGAGCCGGCCATATGATGGACAGAAGTGTTTGGAGCTATAAAAGCTAAAGTACTTTGTGGAAAGAAATGGCTAAAGCTGTATTTGTGCCACTGATGTGTACTCCGCTTTGAAAGTTGGAATGCATTCTTTCTCCATAGAAAATAGGAGCTACACCTCCATCAGAACAGAAGCGTTGTCTGTGATAGAACTGCTGCTTACCAGACTTAAAGGTGAGGTTCTTTGTTTGCTTATCATGCGGAAGAGCCAAGGCTGAGATTCCAGCTCAGTGTGTGGCCCCAAGGCCTGGAAGGGCGGAGAAGGCAATGCCTTCTGTTGCTCTGCATTTACTCTGCTGGGTGATTTAGGAGCAACGTTGACCAGCTGCATGTAGCCCTTCGCACCTGGCAGGACAGCGCAGCACTGACATGGGGTGGAGGCGGGAAAAGTGGGAGGGAGAAATTCTGAGTTAGGCGTGGAGAAGCTGTGGATGAATCTAAGGTCGGGAATACAAGGTCTGCCCCCTTTGGCGTGAGAACCCTTCAGGAGAGTTAGGTGGAGACAGCACATTCCTGGGAGGCAGGATATCGAGGTTCATTCTCCAGCTCTGTCTCAGACTCACGGTGCCAGATTCTGCATTGTGCTCTGGCCCTTCTATGCTGCTCCATGGCTGGCATTGGTGGAAATGCTGCCTGCCCCCTGGAGGGCTGGAGGAGGTTTTGCTGATGCAGGAAGTGCTTCTCTTCTTGTAACACCTGTGCTGAATTTAGCCTCTCCGTTTGGGGTTCCATCCCCTTTAAGGCCTAAACAGGTGTGTTCCTTCAAGTGCCCTACGTGGCTGCAGTTGCTCTTTATTTAGTGAACTTTCTCCTGTGAGCCTTTAGGTTTCTGCTCTAGCTCCGTGTGTCTCCTTTAGTGGAAGAGGGCTCCTTTTTCCTGATGCTCTTCTGGCTGCTCCATGATTCACTTGGCGCAATCATGAAGTGAGAAAGAAATGCCCCCAAACCCCTTTCCCTCATGCTGAGCACTGTGAAGCACATTTAGCCAGGCCTTGATGGGCACAGCTCCTGTGCCAGTCCGTGGGACTTGCATCTGTGTAAGGCAGGCTGAATTTCTCCACATGGTTGATAATCCTGCAGGATCTCCTTCCTGAATAGCGATTTGGATCAAGCGTAGAACTCGAAGCAGTTCCTGTTTCATGATGTCCGGGGGCCTAGTTACTTTGCATCATTCTGGTATTCATTTGAAAATGCAGTTTTGTATCTCTCTTTATCCACACAGAGTCTAAACAATGGGACAGCCTGCCACTGGAAAGTAGAGCGCTCCTCATTGGCTCACTTACTACCATGGTATTGGACAGCAGACCTGAGCTGCAAGAGAAAGCATCTTTATTGAAGAAAACACTTGAAAACCTTGACTAAATTGTAAAACACCAACAGCAAAGTGCCATGTAAAACAAAAACAAGTGCAGTGTGATCCGAAAACCAAGTGGGGAAATGAAGATTAATCTGTAGCATGCATCATTCCTTGGCCAAAATAAAAAATGCCTTAAATTCTGTTCCCCATTAACTGTATTTTTACTGTTTTAAGCAGCTGGTTAGTAAACAACTTTGAAGTTGTGGAAAAAATAGTTGTATCAGTAAATACCTCTAATGATCTGCCCTAAAAGACTTATAGGTGTGTGATCTAAAAGAAGTATTAAGGGCAAGAAGCATCTGATTCTTAAAATAGGCAAAGGATGTAACTTAATTTACCCTAGATCCCAAATGCCCCTGTAAAGAATTGTTGAAGATGGCTGAAAAACCAACAGCTCTGGAAAGTTTAAATGCTTGTTTTCATTTCACTGAACCTTGCATGTGGCGGTTTAATACTTGGTGCCCAAATAGTGATTCTTTAAGTCTCTCCAGGAGATCGGGGGCAACTAATATTTATATTAACGAGGGTTGAAATCCTGCCTCCGTTTAAATCAATGGCAGAATTCCCATTGACTTCACTGGGGGCAAGATTTCATCCCAGAACTCCCAGCTCACTGCTAGCCCAGTCTGGTCCTCCCTGGCACACGCTCCCAGTGTTTGTGAAACGTGAAAGGCAGAATATTGTTGACTTATTTCCTCCATCTCTGCCTTGAGTGGATTTAGCAAATCCAGGCCCCCTTCACAGCTAATGGATCCCTGCCTCCCACATTTTAAACAACAATGATTTTCTCCAAAAGTATGCACCTGAAAGAGCACTTTAATGAGCGGCCTGGGGCTGAAGTGGTTTGGATCTGTAAGAAATGACAGCTGGGGAACACTGCTCTTCTCAAAGTTGTTTTGCATGACACTCCTTAACTGCGGCAAAAAATGACACCCTCCCGCCAACTTTTTCTAGAAAATGTTTTTCCAGAGTGTTCAGTTTGCCATGATGGAAATTTTTATAGTAGTAGTCTTTTTTTCATGTTTGTAACTCTGTTCTTGCTTTGGAAAGCTGTAACAATTTAGACTTCTCAATGTTTGTAACAAACTGAATAATCGATATCATCTATCTGTCGCCAGCTCACACTGGTTTCTAGAAAATACTTTTAATTTGCACTTAATAAGAAAGACCATATCTGCATTAACATGGAGTAAAAATTCTATTTGATTAAATGGCCACGCTCCCCATCCCCCCTCTTTCTTAGACAAAAGGCGTAAACCTGGATGCTGTGACGACAGGCTTTAGAAATGTAAAATGACCACTGTAACTTTAGCGTGGGTCGTTCATCGCTTTGCTGATTATGAATAAAATCATGAGCGTTGGCAACCTCACAGCCATGGATTTCAGCAGAGAAAGACTTGTCGTTTTCTTAAAGACTCCCTCCAGTCCCTTTCTGACTTTCTCTCCCCCAGTAGATTATCAAATAACCTTGCCAACCATCATTGCTCTGTGTTGCTGGCATATTCAGGATTGAGTGTTCAGTACCTACCTTGCCCTCAGGTCTGTGCTATTTCACGTACATTGGAAAAGCAGTGAACTAGCTGATGTACCTAGGGGGAGGGACAGTGCAGTCCATACCCATCTCATCAGAAAATTTCAGCCAACGTTGGGGTAAGACTCTTCATCTTATGGCACTTCTGTATCAAGCTCTAATGCATCTTGTATTAGCACACATTAGGCAATCCCTTGGTGCTGAGAGCTGGTGCTAAAACATTTGATCTATGACTTAGTGGCAGGGAGCTGCTGTTTGTTTACATTGTTTGGATTACCAAGCACATTTGTAAATTTTAAAAGCTTATTGGGCAAATCACTTGCATAAGATGGTACCATTTAAACAACTTGCCTTCCATGAAATCTTTCCACAGGAGCTCATTTTTGTATGAATGAGAATTCCCCGTGTTGCTTTGCTGTCGCCGTTGTTCGTCTGACTTATTCTTTTTCATATAGTTCAAAGCAACAGACAGTTACAGGAAACCAAGCGCTCCCAGTCGCTGAGCCCTTGATTTCAGCAGGGAAGTGCGTATTGGGAGGCAGTACCTAAGATTATGTAGCCCTAGCTGGAGCAACTGGGCTAGCTGCCGTAACAAATGTTTTTCTGCTAGGGGTTTATAGTACATAGAAGAAGAGGTTCTAGAAATTCTACTGATGTCTGGATTGACAACTGTGGCCAGGATTATTGGGAAGCTGGAGATGGTGTATTAGAATCTCTCTGACTCATAAAGCAATATGTTTTTAATGATTAAAAGTACAGATTCAGAATTCTTCTACAGCATGTGCCTATACACAGAACCTACCTGCACAGAAGTTGATATGAATTTAAACCAAGGTCTGATTTCTACCCCCCTTTTCATTTGTAAACTTGACAGGAAAAAAAAATAGATGTGGCCTTCCTAGAGTTTTTCCTCTGAAAGTGATTGCACTATGTAAAACACACTGTACTTTGCCCAAGATGGGCATTTCTTGTGCTGCTGCTTTGTAGACCAAGAGTGAGGCGTGCAAGTCTGACACTAGCACTCATTCTAACCTGCAAGCTGTTGCTTAAATGGATGTATATTAAGAAAAGTTTTCTAATGTTGCAAGGTCTCCATCAAATTCATTGTGATCTGTACTTGGATGTTGAAGTATGTAAATGGACTGATTGAAAGAAAACCCTCCCGCTTACCAAAAAGGTAACATTAAATAAAGGTGCATGACCTGTTCTTGGAAGCAACTGGTAATTTTTTCCCTATTAATGTGTCAAAATTTAACCTATCCAGCACTTTCTAACATTCAAAGCTGGCATTAATGTTATGAACTAGTCATACATGACTGGTAACTTCCCCCCTCCCACCTTAGGAGCAGTTTAAGCTGCTGTCTCATCTCTCAGCTACTCCCAAAGTCTAAATAATATACAATGGTTTTATTTCAAATAGTGGCTTTGCTCCAAGCCATGGCCCCTCTAGCTGGGTTACTGCCAGTTAGAATAGACTGCATTTCTGGCCTGTTGAGGTCAGTAGGGTTGCATAGATGTCAGCAAAGGCAGGACTGGGCTGTGATGTTGAATGTTACATAATAAGCAATGTTAAAAAAAAAACCCTCACCTTTTGAACTATTTATCAAAGCTACCAAAATACACAGGAACCCCTCCCTGAAAAATACAGTGTAGAATATGTTGGATGTTTTTTTACATTTTCATATATATATATCATATTCTGTGTTGTAATTAAAATCAGTGTAGATTTTTGCTTACAAATATTTGCACTGTAAAAATGATAAAAGAAATAGTATTTTTTTATTTACCTGATACAAGTACTATGGTGCCATCTTTTTATCATGGAAGTGTAACTTACAAGTGTAGATTTTTTTGTTACATGACTGCACTCAAAACCAAAACAATATAAAACTTCAGAGCCTACAAGTCCACTCAGTCCTACTTCTTGTTCAGTGAATTGCTTACATTTATGAGAGATAATGCTGCCTACTTCTTATTTACAATGTCACCTGAAAGTGAGAAGAGGTGTTCACATGGCACTTTTGTAGTCAGCGTTGCAAGGTATTTACATGCCAGACATGCTAAACATTCGTATGCCCCTTCATGCTTCAGCCACCATGCCAGAGGGCATGGTTCCATGCTCATGACACTCATTAAAAAAATAAGCATTAATTGACTTTCTGACTGAACTCCTTGGGGGAGAATTGTACATCCCCTGCTCTGTTTTACCCATGTTCTGCCATATATTTCCTGTTTTAGCATTTTAAGAACACTTTCACTGCAGATTTGACAAAATGCAAAGCAGGTACCAATGTGAGATTTCTAAAGATAGCTACAACACTCAACTCAAGGTTTAAGAATCGGAAGTGCCTTCCAAAATCTGAGAGGGATGAGGTGTGGAGCATGCTTTCAGAAGTCTTAAAAGAGCAACACTGCAATGCAGAACCCAAACCACCAAAAAATAAAATCAGCCTTCTGCTGGTGGCATCTGACTCAGATCATGAAAACGAACATGCATCAGTCCGTATTGCTTTGGATCGTTATCAAGCAGAACCCGTCATCAGCATGGATGCATGTCTTCTGGAATGGTGGTTGAAGCATGAAGGGACATATGAATCTTTAGCGAATCTGGCACGTAAATATCTTGCGACGCCAGCTACAACAGTGCCATGAGAACGCCTGTTCTCACTTTCAGGTGACATTGTAAACAAGAAGTGGGTAGCATTATCTCCTACAAATGTAAACAAACTTGTTTTCCTACGCTAAGCAATTAGCTAAACAAGCAGTAGGACTGAGTGGACTTGCAGGCTCTAAAATTTTACATTGTATTATTTTTAAATGCAGGTTTTTTTGTATATAATTTACATTTGTAAGTTCAACTTTCACAATAAAGAGCTTGCACTACAGTACGTAAATGAGGTGAATTGAAAAATACTCTTTTACAGTACAAATACTTGTAATCAAAAAATAAATATAAAGTGCACACTGTACACTTTGTATTCTGTGTTGTAATTGAAATCAATATTTGAAAATGTAGAAAACATATTTGAATAAATTGTATTCTATTACTGTTTAACAGGGCGATGAATTGAGATTAATTTTTTTAATTGCTTGACAGCCTTAGTAATTATATCACTCAATACTGTAAGGTACAATTTGTGTATGACAAGTTCTAAAGAGCTATCCTGCTTGAGAAACCAACATGGCAAACTGAAGTGGTATTTAGTTCAGTCGGTCTTAAAAAGGGACCCAGAATGGGTTAGCCAGAATGAAACTGCTTCCACAGGAGAGGGTGAGGGAGCCCTACATCAGATCATCCCATAGCTCAGTGGTTGGCCCACACTGCTGTAAGGTGAGAGCCACCTCTTCAAATACTTTCTCCCCATCTGGCAGAGAAGGGGGAATTGAACCCTGGTCTCCCATATCTCCAGCAAGTGCCAACAGCAGCATCACCTCATCTACCTGATTTTAGGTGGTGGGTTCCCAGTTGTGGCTCACTAAACAGAGCTAGACAACTTCCTACAACCTGGATTGATTTAAGGGCAGGATTTAGGACACACCACTGTCATCAGCATCTCACATGAGCTAGCTTTGGCAGCTCCCTGGTTAGTCTGCTGGCTTTTGTGGATTGC